TTTAAAAATGAACCGAACCATTGGAGTCCAGCTATTGTATCCTCAATTCAATTTGCTGGAATTGAAGCAATTATGGGAGTATTATTATTTAATTACCATATCATAAATATGCTTCCTTTCGTGCTTGAATGGTTGTAAATCCGTAGCTTATTTTGCTATAAGTTTTGATGTAATCACACGGCACATTCCCTTAAAAACACACGTTGTACATCATAATTGGGTTCCATTCGAACATTGTGTGGATTAGTATGATTTTTTTGCGACATATCTTTGTAATGTCCTAAATTTTACTCCGTGTTCAACGGCAGCAATTCTCAATGACTCTTCGTCCAAAACATCGCCTCCGATGATACGGCACTTGTCGAATCATCGGAGCTAAATGTCGCTTGACTTCTTGATTTTTCTTTGTGCAATATATCTCTAACAAACATAATAAACTTTCATTCTACCTATACAACATATTATTTTAACATACACACTTGGTACAAACTTTAGTAGTACACACTGGAACAGTCTCATTGTGTACTATCACCCAGTGCCTTATTGTGTACCAAGTAGCACTGTTGTAAACAACTGCAAATTATCATATTTAAGTTTTAGTTCATAAAACATGTGAGCTGATATGTGAAATTAAACAAAAAATGAGAAACAAAGATATAACATTTATTTGTTCAGAAAGTCACTCCGGGATAAAAGGTAATAAAATAGTAGACGAGCTCGCTAAGAATTCTACTCATTCAGGTATACAAGAACATATTTACACAGTATTGTACCTATCAGTAGGTATATTAGATACACATTATCTAATCAATTTTTATAAGAAAAAAATAAATTTTAACTGGCAAGACAGATGGAAAATATTGGCAAATACTTCAAATAATCATTATTATAAGATCCATCCTACGTTACCATCCTTAACAGAATTATCACACATATTCCATTATAATATAACTAAACGATCACCAGCAACTATCACAAGATTAAAAACTAGTCACGGTGCTGTTCCTGCTCACCTGGCTAGATTAAACATTATAGAATCAGGAAAGTGTTTATGCGATAATATTTCCCAGTGTGATGTTAATCACATCCTGTTTGGATGTATTAAAAATAAAGCACTCTCATCTACGTTTTATGAAAACCTGGTTAAAAGTAATGTGTAACTTCCAGTAAACATAACCCACCTACTGTCATTGAATCAGAAATCTATATACGAGCTCATATGTAATCACTTATATGCATCCGGATATATAATAAAAATTTAGTACAATCAAGTTTTTAATTGATAAACATAAGTCATTTAAAAATCTGTGTCAAAAGGACTAGTTTCCATGCCAAACACACTATCATCATCATAAGTTTTAGTTTTGAGACACCACTATTGGAGGTTAGACTAATAACAAATTGGCACAAATCAACAATTGGTTTTGATAATAAGTCAACAAATCGATGTGAAAAGTAACTTCTTACCTTAAAAAGTTTATTACTGCAATTTTCATGAGATCACCAATAAAATGTCGGTATTTTGACTGGCGCTGTAAAATGACATTTCTGCAATAATGTTGGTTGCAGAATTGAAATTTTGCGGTAAATTAAAAAAAAATTACATTGTTTTGTTGTTTAATATGTCTAATTGTATACAACTTTACCCTAATCTTAATCACATTTTTGCATTTAGCACTCAAAATTTTTTGATCATATTTTTCTTAACTTAGTAGGATTACATACTTTTGAAGTTTACTGAAGATGGACTCATTAGTTGGAAAACGTTTTGAACTTTACTATGATCCATTTAATTTTTAATTTAATTTTTTAAATCAATATTCTATCAGTTACGACTGAAGATTTCACTTCTATGTTTGAGTTTTTTAACTAGTATGGTATAAAGCCATCTTTTGGGAACTATCCCATAACAAAATATATATCATATTATAAAACAATTTTAATATTATTCCAGATATTTACAATAGTATATATAGTTAACGGCATAGAAGGCTACGATATACCACAGTACCATACAGTAGAACAACCAGAACACCAGAAGAAACCTGTTATTCCCATTTTGAAATATACTTCCGAACGAGACGAACATGGATGGAAATACAGGTACACTATTTCAAATCAATATAAAATAAACACATTCATATAAAATGATACAGTTAAGTCAAATTATGTATTAAATGAAGATTTCTGTGAAGTTTTTGGCTCAGCATACTAGAGCTTATTGATCATTGTTTAAACGTTGAAAATTGTCAAAATTTGCAGAAAAATTACTTCTACAACTGCAGTCTCCACAGAAAGTTATTTTTGTTTAAAACAAATTTATATCAGCACAATTAATTTGGGACTTACCCATTTATCCGCGGCTTTGCACATTATATTTCGTTTGCCCTTTACCACACCTCAATAGACATTCATCGTTCAGCCTTTGTATATGTTCATTAATATTTATCATTATCCAGCCTCAAAAGTCCACTGCTATAGGTCAATAGGTCAATAGGTCAATAGTTCTCGTATTTCTAACTTCGACTATTCTGTGCTATTCTTATCCAGTTTTTATTTTTTCTTCTTAACCCATTAAGGGCCGAGACAATAAACATAGAGAAATTTGACAATTGATTGACTAATTTGACTAATTTACAACCAAAAAGAATTTTTTTTTTCATGAAAGGAAAAACAGGTGGGTGCGTATACGCACTTTTGGCTGAATACGCATACAATTTTTAAAAAAGGAACATATTGTATCTTAACTGTAAATTAAATTTTAAGATGACAATTTTCGAAACATTCGCAGTGTAGATGCACTGTACACTTTTTACATAAATAAACAATATTACTTTTGCACATCTGATATTTTCTTCTTGCACTATTATCGTCTCTTTTTATAATGTGGCCAATATTGTCGAATCTAGTTTCATCTGGTAAAGCAAATTTAGATGGACGTCCATATACTGAGTCTGACAATGATGTAGCGGTTTCTTTACTATTCTCGTCATGTCCACTATATTTTAGTAAGTTAAGAACCAATCTCGAACGAAACTCCAGTTAAGAAATTTTAGAATCATTTGCAGTTTTAAAAATTTCCAACTATTGACCACCATACTGTCAATCATGTAAGTAAACAACGGCCACCAGCACTTTTTTCCTCTTATTTTAATACGGTAATTCGCAATGCCATTATCATGCAGATCCACTCCACCCATGTATTGGTTATATTGGTGAATTATATTAGGCTGAGGGATAAGAATTTTTTGTGTTCTTTACGGTTATAACGTTTAGTTTGCATAAGGGATAAAACGTCATATGTATTTGTCATTACAGTCACTACTGAATTATCGTTCCATCTTGTCACCAAAACTTCTAAATTGGAATCCGATGCACATGTATATGAACCTCTTTCCTTTTTTTTTCATAATTTTGTTTTCTTCTAGAGGACACTTAGCAGTGCGATTTTCCCTTACTGTTCCTGTTGCAAAGAATCCTTTTTCTTTCAATAATCCAATGACGTAAAGAAGTTGTTGTCGGTTTTCAACTATCGAAAGTAAATTCAAAACAACTGCCGTTCCTAAGCTAAAACTATTATCTGTTTTCTCAGTTTTTCCCCATATGGAATAAATTTAAACAAATAACCAGTATCAGAACATAAACACCATAGTTTAAAACCAAATCTAACAGGTTTTCCATGGATGAACTTTTTGCACGAATGTTGCCCGAAATATGGAACCATTTCCTCGTCAATGGAAATATTGTTTGCAAAGACTCCAAATTGTAGAAACTTTCGGTTAATTATTTCAAAAGTTGGTGACAATTTTGGAAATTTATCATTTTTATTCAGTAAGGTGTTATCTGACAAATGTATGTTCTGTTTGATTGAACGAAATCTATGTCGGTTCATGCTCTCTCTTACAATGTGCACTTCTTTATCCTCATCCTTCGACCAATACATATCAACTTGAGGCAGAGTGTGATAACCAAATAATATACATATGCCAATAAATTTTTTTTAAATCTGTATCATTCATTTTAAATCGTGACGGTTATTCTGCGATGCATAAATATTTGTAAAATATCGAATGCTCCCACTTACTTCTTTATCAAAAAAGAGTGAAAAAACTTCAATAGATGACTTGCCTCCATGGTTGGCTTTTACATTTTCTAAATATCGATCAGACTGATGTTGAATTACTGCCGAGTACGAAGGAGTATCTGTTTTTACCCAACTTGGGACAAATTTGGATTTATTATTTTTGCCTGGTTCTTTCTTTGGACGTTTTGATCTGTGGTTCAGAGGAATATCATCATCAGAATCGTCAGAATTTCCATTCACTTGTATTACATATGTACCTGCAATATCTGTTTTTATTCCTTCTTCACCAAAAATATTATCATCAATGTCTTCTACATCGGAAATTTCATCTGTTTCCGGCGGCACATAAACCACATCAAGTGAGTCAGCATTTTCACAGTCTGAGTCTTCTTCTAACAAAGCCATTAACTCTTTAGTAGTTAGCGCCCTCTTCATTTCATATTTCGAGACTTTACTTAAGTAAACAAAAAAATGCACTACTACTACTATATACACGCATTCATATGATAATAATTTAGCTTACGTTATTTCAACTTATATGGAATACAAAACAAATAAACACAAGGAAACTTTCAAACTGATTTAAGTCAAGAAAAAAAGCAAATATAACGTTTACAGCACACAGCAATTTTATAAATAGTGAATGAAGTGTATTGACTATTGACAAAATCGTAATTTCAGATTGTTTAGTCTACGAAAAAAATATAATATGGTTTCAGCCAAAGCTGCGTACCTATACGAATCCATAGTATAAACATGCAATTATAGACCTTATTTTTAAACCATAAATGAGTAAGTTTTTAGAATAATAAAAATTTAACATATTTTTATAATTATAGAATACAAAATATGAATTAAGTTTATAATTAGTATCGAAAAATTTTTTTGTATGAAGATGTGCATAAATCATTAAATTATGCAAAATTATAATAATCTTAAAATATTTAAAAAGTAATATTTTTGTCAAAAGAAAAATGATACTATATACCTTAATCTATTGAGATGTTACTTCAATGAAAAGAAAACATTAAAAAAATTATTTTCGGGCCAAAAAAATTAACAATAAAGGTTGCGTTTACGCACCTTTGGCCGTAAATGGGTTAAATCGTCAGCCCATCGTGTAGATGGTCGATCGATGTTTTTCTTGTCTTCTCTTGGTCTCCATTCCAATAACCTTTTTTTCCATTGCCCATCCGTCATTCTACCTATGTGTCATACCCATCTTAATTTTAGTCTGGCCATCATTTAGATGACGTCAGTCACTTTTGTTCTTCTCCTGACGTCTTCGTTTTCTATTTTGTCTAACAGTTTCAGTAAATTTTCAAATAGATTTTTCTAGAAACCGGTGTATCCTACAGACTTGTAGTAAGAGTACCTTTTAGTAAGAGATTACCTATAAATTTAATAATCTAGTACCATAAATGCTTAAAATTTAAAGACAAAAACCTTACACTTAAACAATACGTTAAAATAACCGTTGACCTACCCAAAACGGACGCGTATGAAAGGTACTAGATATTTGCAATTAACAGAATCGATTTATCTTTGAAGTATAAAAAACAATCATACCAGTTTTAGTTTCTCTAAATAGAAGCGTTCTGGAAGTATTAAAAAACTACTTACAAGGCGCCATCTTCAGATAGCTCTAGCACCCTTTCGGTAGGATTTTCGGACTAGGTGAATTGGGTTAAATTGTCTTAAAACTATCTGTGGAATTTTCGGTTTACATTTGGCAGGAGAGTTTCGTTGCATCCAGTATATTCATTATTATTTGAAAAACTAATTACCTAAAAAATAGTTATAAAAAAGCGATACTACATAACTTAAAATCTTTTTAGTTATGAAACTGGTAACGGTATCCAGGCAGAGGAAGCAGGTTATATTAAAAATTTGGGAGATGAGAAACATGAGTCTGTAGTCCAACAAGGTTCTGTGACTTATCACGATGAGCACGGCCATCCAGTAGTTTTAACATACGTGGCTGATGAACACGGTTTTAGAGCACAAGGCGATCACTTACCTACACCACCACCCATTCCAGAAGCCATTCAAAAATCCTTAGAGGAAGGAAATCATAAAGAGGTAAAATATATATATATTTTCGCTTATTCACTTTTATTTAGGCTTTGTTTGTAGTATAAATCAAATTTATGAGATTATGGAACACGTACAAAAAATATTATTTTTAATGCGAATATCGTTTTTCCATGTAAGTAATTTAAAATTAGCGTTTTGTCAGAAAACATTATTATTTTTTATAAACTAATCTTCAAAGTTAGTCATGTGACCAACTGTGAGATACAGAAATGCTTCAGGATTATTTTCACTTAACCCTTTGTTTTCTAGTGTTTTCACTGTGAAACCACATACAAATAAAATTTTATGCTACGTTCTCAGTGGTATTTTCCTGAAATCGCTCACGTTATATGATGTATAAGGCTCCTCCTACTATAAAATGTATCGCGCATCTCCATTTACATTCTCGTTATTCAATTATTAGTTGGTACTATCCGTGTTTTGAATTGTGCTGGTGGTATGAGCGATTTTGGTGTTTTTTTTTATATTATTTTGCTATGGCAGGTAACTTTATATACATAAATTTATATACAATATTAGAAACATTTGTATCTATGATTAATACTTCCTATTACTAAAAGTTTTCAATTTACAATCAGTATATTGATGATATAAAATGCCGGTTTCAGATATGTACTTAAGTACTTACGTTTTATTTTAGAAAAAAAGTATATTCATTCAGACAGCTGAACAATATGTCGTCGGGTGATCTATTCACATTATTAGAGAATATTCCTTCAGATAGCGGGTCAGATGAATCGAGTAGTGAGGAAGACGATTTGCTTGACATTGCGAATATGCCAATATTATTTGAAGATCAGCCAGACCAACCTTCAAGAGGCGACAATTCAGAGAATATTCTTGGTGATGAAGCCTTTTTGGTCGACGAGGACAATGTTCCACCTGGTATTTTGAGGGATATAAAACAAAGAAGAACCTGGACCAAGTCAGCGGCATCTTGCGTTACTAACATGAAGCAGTTTACTGAAGAAACCGGTAGTAAAATTCTAGATGATATGGAGAGGCCAGTAGATATTTTTTTACAGTTATTTCCCGGAAATCTAATTGACAAAATTGTATTCGAAACAAACCTCTACGCTCTTCAGGAACGTGGTGGAGACTCTTCATTCACACCAACTTCTGCCAAAGAAATTAAAATTTTCATTGCAATCAATATGTTGATGGTAATCAAAAGGTTGCCCAGTTATGTCGATTACTGGTCATCTAGAGAGGAACACGAGATCACTATATTAGCTCAGCTATGTCTAGAGATCGGTGTGCTTGGCATCTAGGAAACGTGCATTTAGCAAATAATTTGGTGATCCCAAGTTGTATAAAATTCGTCCTTTATTGGATACTTTATCCGAAACGTTTGGTTCTTCATATGGCCCTTCAAAACATCATTGAAGAGTTAATTGGAAGAAGGCAAATATGTAACTTGAACCCTTCTTCGGTAAATCATTCCAATGTGTACAGTTTTTTATATAGTTGCATTGTGTCTGACTTTCATTGCTCTACGACTAAAATTAAGGAAAATAGCAAGTGCAAGAAGGATTCAAGTTGCAAGGTGTACACGTTTTCAGTTGTAAAACAGGGTCTTTAATTTTTGAATCTTCTAAAAGTCAAGTTTAATGAGGTTATTTTTCAACTGTCTGGTGGAAAAATAATTCATGTCAGTTTGAAACCTTCATACACAAATAAAGAAAAAAATATTAATGAAACAATTTAAACATAAAAGAACTCAAACGTGTTAGTAGCCTTCTTCACTTTAAAAATGCCTAAAAGCTGGTCATTGTTTTTCATGGATGAAGGATTTAATATGTTTTATGCCCATTTTTCTGCATTGTTAATATAATTTTTATTTATAGAATGTCGTTTGATGAAAGATACTTACGATATTAACCCATTCCTACAACAACTCTGTTATCCTAAAAGAAATGACCTTCATTCAAAAGGAATCTTTTTGATTTTGAAACGCAGGTAGTTAGTATTTCGCTCTCACTCTGTTCGTGCATTAAGGCGTGAAACGTTGTAGATTTGTGGTTATGTTTTGATGCTAATCGTGGTGTTGATAGAAAAGGTGCAGTTTTTGTATTATAAAGTGGATTTTTTTCATTCTTCAGCGAAAATGAGTAAAACTAGAGGAAAAAAAATTCTTGAATTAGTGACTAGAGCAGAATCCAACAGGAATAATGACACTGAATTATTTGAGCAAAAAATTACTAGTTCTGCAGCCAATGATGAATATGGTTAGTATTTTTTTGTTTTTTATTGTAAACGGTACGGTAATATTACAAATATATACAATGATAGTATATAAGTTTTAAATCAATATGTTTAAAGTTAATCTCTCATAATAATAATCTTTTTCATGTCATGTAAAAAGCTGCTTTTGCTTTTGCAATAATATTCTTCAAAACAAAGTTATCATTGTTATAATATTCGGAATGTACAGGGTGTTACTAAGTTTTTCGTTGGCAAAGTTTTATTTTTTAAATGTAATACATATCCATAGTAATATCCATAGTCAAATATCTTTACCTATATTTCTCCAAAAAAAAAGAAAATAGTTTTTATACTGCGACTTACATAGTTCCTCAATAAGTTCAAACAAAATTTGATCTACTGTATCAAGTACCGATTTATCTAGTTCTCAATCTCACATAAATACAGAAAAACATCAATTTGATGATACTTAACGTAGGATCAAAGTCATACTTATGTAGAACCACATTTTGTAAAGCTATGAGAACAGGAACCATGTACCAAATATTTTCTTTTCCTTTTCAGATAGTACTTCATCGAAAAGTAAACCATTTTCTGCAGGTTCATCAGATAATTACATCCCAGACAGTAGTGATGACAGTGATGAAAGTCTGATGAATGAAGGAAATGAGCTGCAGACTTTGAACTCTGTTCAGAACAAAGATTATCCATCAGAAGAAGTCTACGCTACTGCTAGTAATAATAATCAACAATTATTATTTAATTCTGATCTGGTTCAAGAATTGGCAATACCAGGTAACATGACAAGTTTAGACCATATCAGCGATGAAAATAATATTAAATATGAATCCGAAATACCTACCAATATCAATCAACAGTCAACTCAACCAACATTAATAGAACCACTGGATACAACACGAAAACGTAAACACGACTATCCTGCTAAAGAAAAATTAACAAGAAAACGACAGTGCAATCCAGAAACGTGGAAACGAAAGATCAATTACATAAATAGAGAAAAAGGTCTTGAGTATAAAAATTACAAAGGACAGTTAGTTCCTGCAAAAAAAATGTGCGAAACGCCTATATGTTCCTGTAAAAAGAAATGTAACGAAAATTTCACAATAGAAGACAAGATACGTATTATGAATACTTACTACACACTTGATGTAAATAACAAAAATATATACCTGTTTCAAAGTATGAAACGCCAACCATGCAAGTTTGGTAAGAGAAACCCGAAAATAAAGAGAGATTACACATATACCTATTTCATCCAATCAGAATCTGGTACTGTTCAAATTTGTAAGAAGGCATTTATGAACCTTCATCAAATTAGTGCCAAGAAACTAAATGTAATTCAAAAAAAATTGTGCGAAGGATTCAGTGCCCCTACTCATGATAGGAGAGGAAAACATAGCAATAGGCCTCACAAAACTAAAGAAGAAGTACTTGAATATATACGTCAACATATAGGATCCTTTCCAGCAGAGGAATCTCATTATTCGAGAACCAAAAATCCCCACAAAAAGTTTCTATCGCCGACTTTATCCCTTCGTAAGATGTATGAGTTGTATAAAGAAACATGTAAAGAGGAATCTAAAGACAACTCATTTTTAATAAAAGAAAGTCAATATAGAAAAATATTCTGTACAGAATTCAATTTTTCTTTTGGTCTTCCAAGGAGCGACACTTGTTCAAAATGTGATTTAGTCAATGAAGATACTCAGTTAATAACTCACAAAGAGAACGCTGCTCTCGGTTACAGCCTTATCAAGTCTGATCGGCAAAAATGTGAAGAGAATGAACAAATGTGCTTTCTTACCATGGATCTTCAGCAGCTAATGCCCCTGCCAAAACTTTCAGTTTCTTTATCATTCTATCTCAGACAAATTTGGTTTTTTAATTTTGGTATACATTTTGTAACAAAGAATGGAGATGAAGTTAATCACAGCACAGTTATGCTTAACTGGACTGAAGACTTTGGTACTAAAGGGAGTAACGAGATTATGAGTTGTCTGTATTATTTTACAATTATGTGTGAAAATATGATTGCAGGTAAAGATCACCTCATAGTATGGTCTGATTCATGCGGAGGGCAGAATAAAAACAGTAACCTTATACTGCTGTATCAGTACCTTATACTAAAATCAAAGTTTAAAATAATAGATCATAAATTCCCAGAAGTGGGTCACACTTATTTGGATTCTGATCGTGACTTTGGTAGAGTGGAAAAGGTCTTAAGAAAGCACCAAAATATTTATAGTCCTGATGAATATAGGAAAATAATACAAGGAAGCATTAAAAAATCCCAAATAATAGATATGCAGCAACATTTCTACGATTTCGATCAATTAAAAACTGACATGAATTTGGTAATAAGGACTGAAAATACATTGAAACAAAAGGTAAACTACAGGGATGAAGTAAGGTGGATAAGGACTGTTGAATTCGGTAGTTATCTATAAGTCTTCTTTTGACTGCTATACACCTTTTCTAATGGTTGACCTCAAAAGAAAAGCTGGTTGGTCTCCACAAGAAAATATTGTCATTAAGAGAAGAAACCAGGAAAATAAAATCTCAGTAGAAAAGATTGCTGATTTGCGGAAGCAAATAGAATATATTCCCGAGCAACACAAGTGGTTTTACGAAAATATTCTCCAAAAAACTAACGTCTAAAGATTGGGTTGTAAAGTCATTTTTTGTAATGTGCATTTTGTAATGTTAATCAGTTTTATTTTGATTTGTATTTTGAATAATTTTTTAACAAATTACGAAGTTTGTTACTACTTGTATCTAAAATTGAAATTTTTCTAATACAATGAAACAAGTGATTCAAGAATTTAATTTCA